ACCCTAAAACCGGTTTAACAGAAACCCTAAAACCGGTTTAACAGAAACCCTAAACCCCCGACCGACCCCTATCTCTCAACCCTGTCTTCCCATTTCCTTCCGCCGCCAATTTCCTCTCTTTCTAAAAAAGCCTAGCCACCAAGGTCTCCTTCACTCTTAAAACTGTATAAATATCTCGAAATCTATTTTGACCGTATCACTCTCTCCTTTAAGAAAAACATAATGTTTCTCTTTCTTTCTGGTAATCCATTAAAATAGGTAATTATAACTCAATAATTCTCCTTTTAATTCTTCCAAAGGGTGATAGATTTAGTTTTAACGAGTGATGATCATAGGTGAATCTAAAGAACAGACTGTTGGGTTTCGAATCAGTAGCTTCCCGTAAAATTCACCTAGCAACAACGAAAGTGGAGAAAACAAATAGTAAAATGCCAGTTTTATCCTTCAAGTACCCATAGTTGAAACAAGAGGTAAACGGTGAAAATTTCGGAAGAAAATTTTACGAGTTTTACACATTCACTAATAAATCTCAGTACGGAGATTGGAGTTGCATCTGCTTGCAAGAAACATTAAATTCACGATTAAAAAACATGGATCACACGGTGAATTCGTTTTTTCTTGCAAAATGTAATAATGTGTTGGGCCGAGGGATATTTCCTAGCAAACAGAGGCACATGCCCTTCTTCTTCTTTTTTTTAAAAAAATAATTTTGCAAAAATGGTTAATAACCCAATTTAATGTGAAATGGACATGTACTTTGTGCATTGGCATGCATGCAAAGCCCATTATTATGTGCAGGTCCCAAGCATCTTACCGAATTGAAGTCCTTTTCAGGAAGGGAATCCGAGGAGGTGTAATCATAAATGAATTTGTTGGTACGCAATTATGTTGATTTGGGTAAGCTTTGAGAACTGCAAGGGGATGTAAAATTTGTTTGCTTCCCAAAACTCTTAAGACTCACAACATCATTATCACTAGGCCAAAAATAAATAAAGGCACAAGAAAGTAGGAATCCTGATGACGTAGCAGCAGCAGCAGCAGCAGCTGCATTCAGCAGTTTCTGATATGTGTAATTTTCTGAGAATAAAATCTCACAATCTCACCAAATTCCCTGGGAAATTGGTTTGGCCGGACTAGGACTAATGTGGCTTGTTCTTGCTCTGCTGTGGACGGACAAACAGTCAGTGAAGATGGGAAACGGCTGGTTTACATTTGTATAATGCAAAAGATAGACATCCTATGCTACTTTTGGCCTTTTCCACATAGACTGACACTAAATTTATGACTAATACCGAACAAAACAATTTTGGTCAATTTTTTTCTACTCTTTTTATTTTTTATGATTTTCCCCCTCTTTTTTTTATTAATAGTAGAATAAAGGGTGCTTGCAAAGTCCTAATATTTGATTCATGAACAAGTACCTGATAAATTAAAAGTTTTCCCTGTAATTTTTATGGAGTTGTAATCTCCAACTAGGCCTAATTGATAATGTGTTTTTGAGTAATGTAGGACGAAGGAGTTTACATGTAGTAACAAGAATTGGAGAAGAAACCAGAAACTTTATTAAAAGTTTGAATAAAGAAGATCTGATCACATCCAACAGGGAAAATATGCTCAATTATAACCAATCTAGTTATGTCCTTTGAGATGAAAGTAGGACCCTGCAAAGCTGGCATAAAACCATCATTTGATTGGATAGCACTCATGCAAATTACTTCCACCCCACAAACTTGAATATGGTGATTTCCCATCAAATGGTTTTAAGAATTTGGGGAATTGGGAACCAAACCCTGATTTGCGAATTACACATTTGGGAAAACAAAGGTCACGTCTGAGGAGATGGTGTTCTCTAGTACAGTGTCCTTGTGAAAGGTGGGACCTCATTAAAGTGGCACAAAATTTGGGTTGATAATTGGAGTTTTGTAAAATCTTTGTTCCAAAAATCTTGCCATGTGGTTGGCTACCATTCTCTTCATTCATTCTATTTCTTTTGCATGTACTATTGTCTTGTGTGCTCACCCTCTTGGAAACTTGTAAACACAAAGTCTATTTTCACGGGTCTATTTGACACTTTCCATCAATTATTTGACAGGGTTGTCTCCAATGTCTACCAGACAGAAATCACAAACATTTTCATGGGGGCATTTCTTTCCTTCATTGATTGGGGAGCCACTCTGCTAAGGAGTTTATGTCATTCACACACTTGCTCTTCTAATCCAAAACCCTTTCAATAGAAGATTTTGCATTTCTCTCCAATTCTGAACTATGGGTGCCTTTCCTAGCAAGAAAAAGAGCAGGCCCTGTCATGAGAGGAGAAATGTGAAGAGTTTGACAGACAAAATGAGGCTTCTCCAAGAGGAAATCCAGGAAATGGTGTACGAAAGAGAGAAAGAGGCTAGAGGGTATGAGAAAGAGGTGATGGTTTTTGAATGTAAAGAGGCTGAGTGGAAGAAAGAGAGGAAGAGGCTAAAGGAGGAAGTGAAGAAGCTGAGGAAGTTAGTCGAAGAGAAGGAGGTGAAGATAAGAGGGATGGAAGATTATGCAATGGTGGCTGAGAAATGTGGCAAAGGATGGCCATTGCTGGGGACGAGTTTCCTGCTGGAGCAAATGAGGGAGGAGAGAGCAAGGCGAGATGAGGCTGTGGAGAAGTGGAAGCAACTCTATCTTGCCATCAAGACCGAGCTTGATGATCTCATTCAGAGAACTCATGATGGTCCTATCTCTCTCTTTCCTTCTCTTACAGAAACATCTTTCTATATATTCTTCTTCACTTGTTTAATTACTTTCAATTGCGACTTCACCAACCTTATTTTCTTTACAAAATTTATCTACACAAACAACTATGAGTGCTTACTTAATTATGTATAGCTTAAGCAAATACCTAAGCTTCAGCCTGCAAATATGGTAGCTACCTAGCCACACTTGTCTTTGTCAAAAGTTTCATAACAGTCACATTTTCCTTTTATTTTCCATCATTTTGTAGGAAAAAGAAAAACTATCTCATCAAATGGTTAGTATATACAATGTAACCTTCTTATTAAACTAAGGAATACCTAAGTATGTATAGGTTTTCTTTTAGAAGAAATAACTAATGTAGAGTACTTTTATTGAGGTGTTTTCTCTATGAAAGCTTAGCTAACAAACTTGCTCCTTTTCCACAGGAGATGCGCTGTATTGGAAAGCTGAGGAAGAGGACATGATAGAAGAGCTGAAGAAGGAAGCGAAGAACAAGGAAGAAACGATAGAAGCTTTGAGAACTCGATTAGCTGCGATGGAGAGGGAAGATTATGAGAGGGGACGAGAGATGGATATTCTTAGGCAAAGCTTGAGAATTTTGGGCACTAACAAGAAGGCAGCCTATAGTACTAGTAGTAAAAGTACCACTCTGGCTCAGTATTTGTGAAATTAGCCCTCTAGACAAGTTTAGTACTGGTATTTTTATTTTTATATATAATGTGTACACACAATAAGTTATTCGATGGATAATAATAATTCTAATGCTGGAAGTGAAGTCCATGGGATAAATTGCTAAGACAATATCAGGATGAAGATGGTTCACTAAATTTTTAAAGACTTGGAGGAAATTGGACTTACTGACTTGATGTCTATACCCTCTTGGCCAAGAAAAATGGGAAATCAGCAGAAGATATCCCTAGTTTTCCAATCATTACACATAATGGGTTTTGATTCTCGACATGAGAGATTGATACTTGACTGTCGGATACTTAGATTCTCGCATAGTCACTTCCTGCCCAAGTTTGAAGACCATCGTTTTGCGTGTATCATTGACTCATTGCATTAAACCATGCACAATGGTCCCCTTTGCTTGATCATTTGCTCTTCTATGGAATCTCTAATGGTTAGCTGCTGCTTCAATCCTTTGTCAATTCCTAATTCCCTTGATATTGGCGCAGTAAACAAAAGGGTTATGTAATCTGATGGTATCTCATTACAAAAGAGAATCAAAAGTTCAAATGTACATCTTTTAATGCAAGTAAAACATTGGGCAGGAATGGAAAAAGAAACCCAGAATAAGTCATAATGATTATAGGAAATGGAAAGCAAGAAACCTGGAGTTGACATTTGAGACGACTTATATTATTGCCCTATGAAAGTCACTGTACAAGATATATAATATGAGGGGAAAAAACTGTACATTTTGCCTACAGTCTGATGTAATATTCTAACAATCTTTCTTATAAACACCTTTACCAAGGGAAGCTGTTTTTTTCTTAGCTGGTTGACATGCTGCCTTTTTCATTATTTCGTGAGCTTGCAACAGTTTGGTAATTTGATCTCACACTCTGAATAAAGCAGTAGAACCCGGTTGCAACAGTTAGCAGGGTGACATACATAATGATTGAATCATTCAAAATTCGAACAGGTATAGGATTTGGAGAGGAAGATAAACAAGTTAAATAAAATACCGAAATTATTCTAACTATGATGTATACCTCTAGCAGTGTGACGTAATAGAAATCCTCCATATGCTGCATAAGCGCGCTCCCATCACGAATTGCACGGAATATATTGATTTCAGTTTGCAATATCTGTTCCATGAGTTCTCTTTCTCCTTTCATCTGCACAGAGTATGGACCATTCTCGATCAGAAAGGTAATTTATGTAAGACATTACTCACAGATGGAGATACATAATAATAAATCTCAAGGATTGAATGAAAGAAAAAAAAAATTGATGACATCTTAATTATCGGTATAAATCCTGATGGAAGGTTGATAAAGACAGTCTGTTACTTCAAATATTAAGTTATGCTGACTACCTACAAGGGAATTTTTATGCTGACAGATAACATACCTGTATATATGCATTAAAAATCTAGGCGTTCCTGGTGATCGGAGACAGATTTGCAATGGGGTCGATGGGGGCAATTGCCCCCACTGAAAAATCCTAACTTTTTTTTTTGTTGAATTATGTACTTCTCAAAAGTTGAAGAAAGTTTCAACATATTAACCTATTAATTAAACTTTTAACCCTTTGATTAATAGGTTAAATTTTAAAAGTTTAGTAAGATATTCACAACCCTTTGAATAAGTTGAAAGGGTGAAAGGAAAATCATTAGACAACAAAAAACATACAAATTCTGTGACAAGAACATCTGGTGTGTACTCCCCAATCACATCACCCTGATAACCATCTTTCCAGAGCTCCATATTTTCCTGAAAAACATACATGAAACTCATAAACAAATACATGCATAAACTAACATGAGATACCAACAATTAGTCACAATAAAACCAAGAATACAAGGACTTCAATGTAATTGATTAAAGAGTGTACCCAAGACAGTTGAACAGAAAAACTTCATAAGTAGAATTTAGTTAGGCCTAGCTACTTATGAATACAAAAAGAATCAAATTATGAAGACTAAAGATAGCTGCCGATAGAGATTACATTTTCTAAAACAGCATATATTTTTGCTCATGATTCAACTAATTTAAGAATTCTGAACAGATGACACAATTCAAAATAGATTCCAAAAACATGAAGCAAAATATCATTGGAAAACCAGATTTTCTGATTGTTTGATTATTTACGAAAATAAAGGGTAACTGATGAGTCAATTCTGAACATAAACCAGCAACAACAGCAAAGCTGCAGAGAGAGCAAGGCAAATCAAGCAGTCAAGGTCACTTAGTCACCCCAAAAGTGAAATTTTTCACAACACTTGCTAAAACACCAAATCAAGATAACAAACACAAATAATTGACATCAGAATCAAATGCCTGTCATTTGTCCAGTCCATACCTACACATGCATATCATGACTCTAAGCCACAAATGTTAGAGTTCCAAATAAAAAAGGACTTACCAAAGCATCTCTTAATTCTCCAGCAGCAAGATAAACAGGCTGAGCAACATGGCAATAACCCATCAAACGGGGGACTGTTGGTATAATGTCTCTGTGGTTAACAATTCTCCAGCTATCTTTAACTTTCTGCGCAAAGGTAAGATTCAATTGCATAAACTTTAATGTACAAGATATAGGAGTGAAACAGCATCATTAAATGAGAAGATTGATATCTGCTAAAAGAAATTTCAGTAATTACATTTTCCATGCATCTGGAAGCAATAATTTAAATTCAAGCACAAAAATGACAGAGTGCCAAGTTTTTTACAAGCCTGCAATTATCTGCAAAGAAATGCTTAAATCAACACCAGGGACCTGACCAGAGTCTTTCAGGAAAAATCTTTAATAAACAAAAAGAAGAGAAGATGGCAAAGCAGGACCAAATCACTTTTCTGACTTCAATGATTAAACCTGATAGAACATAAATGTCAAGGCAAAAAGTTCAAAAGAAAAGGTATTCATGATGCAAATAAAAAAAGTATAGGAAAACAGAGAGAGACAGAGAGGAGAATCACAAAAGATGAACTGAAAAACCATAGCTATTAGATGTAGCAATAGATAGATGTGTGTGGGTAATTTGCTCATATTATAGTTGTTGGTGTCGGAAACCAAGAGGAAAGAAAGAGTTCACTCAATTCATGTAAGACGAATGTCAACTAAGTGACACAAATCTTGATAGTTAAATCAGCCTTTCAGCAAGAAATGAATTCAAGAAGAATATATAGAGCTATCAAAATTCCATCAGAAAAAAAACCTATTACTAAGAAAATGTGAACTGAAGAGAAAAACTTTTAGTACCTCATTATATACTTCTGCAAATCTTCTGTTACCTACTCTAGGAGAACCAAAGTTATACATAGTCACTGAAATCGCCCCATGCCTGATACACATAAATGAGATACGAAGTTCAATACATTATTTTTTGCTGATTTCTGATAAAAAAACCATTAGATCTAAGACCATCAAGAAGAAATAATTTCCAAAAGCTTCCAATTATAAACAAATGCTATTCAGCTCTCTACAATCCTTGACATGTTCATGGAAACCTGAATAATGCCAACAGAGATTAATTAGCAATTTTAGCATTTAGTCCAGAAGAGTCCTCAGATTTACCAATTTTTCAAGTACTGATGAAGTTGAGGTTTGAAAAGTCATCTAATCCTTCCACTTACACATATAGTTAGTTGCTTTCTTTCCCTTTTTTTCCTGATTGACATATGTTTAGTTTCTTTTGAACAGCTACAAGTATAATTTCTCTGCGTTTCTTTATACAATTTGAATAGCATGTTATGCGTTGAGAACAAATAAAGAATGCCATTCTTAAGTGAAAAGAGAGAAACTTACTTTGCTAATTGACTTGATGAAAGTTCAAGAGCAAGCAGGGTAGCTAGTGCACCACCCAAACTATGACCAGTCACATAAACTTGCCATCTATGCAGTGGCTCTGTGGTTTCATCTCTGTCACACAAAAATGCACATAAAACTTCTGTTGTTTAACCAATCTATATTTTGTAATTTCATATATGTAGTGAGTAAGCTTCTGCTTAACATCAATAAGATCAACTTTCCATGCACAGAAAACTTCTGTTGTAAGAAACAATCTACATTTGATGATTTCAAATATTTAGTGTGTAAGCTTTCAGCTTAACATCAATAACATCAACCTTCTACTTTCATGGAATCAAATACTGAAATACACCTCTAATATCCTATATCAAGGTTTATTAAGAGCTTAAAGAGAGACATTTGTTAGAGATCCAATATTATCTCAATGGGTAACTCACAAAATTAATAAATATAAGCAAGTGAAGAAATATTTGAAAAGCACCAATCAAAATTTCCATAAATAAATAAAAGCTAAACAACACCTCTAAATATTTACGGATATATGCAAAATTTTTGTACTAAATGTCGACATGTTAGATTTACACTTTAATTGGAGCATAAGCAAAGAGACTCAGACGAAAGTTCACAACAATAACACTTACATATATCTGATTGATGTTTTGAGGAGGGAGATAATCCTTATCCTAACTGAATCATATGCACTTAAAAATCCACTATGAACCTGCAAAATATAGCCAGCATTCATTAGTTATTCATGCAAGTAAAGCTAACAACAGTTATCAACAATACGTGCATTTCATATATACTATTTTTGAAAGAAAAAAAAAAGGGAAAAACAGAGTCCATAAAGCGCTAGCATACTTGGACTTCTTGCTTGAAGTCTCCACCAATCCTTTCAGGGTTTAGCCTTCATAGGTGAGCTAAAAGTTAGTATCAGAAAAAAAGTTATAATATGTGCCTTTCTAAAATGTTAAAATATTATTAAAAATAAGTACTAGGAAATGAACAATAATGAATCATTGCCTGGATTTTGACATCACTGAGTAACATTGCAGATGTCATGATGTCAGATATTCAACAGCAAATATCCTACGCACTGTTATTATGATCAACTGTTAATCTGCAAATTCATTCAAGATTGTGCTATTTTTCCCCCACTTAAGGTGACCAAGAGAACAAAGAAGCACCTTGTGGTGATAGTTCTTATTACTATTATGAATAGGCAGACTTCCAACTTAAACCCACATTTACTGAATTAGTGAGAAACCGTGTTCAGCAATGCAAATGAAAAACCTCTCAGGAAGAGAGCAAGAGAGAAGGAGAAGAGGATATATATTTGAGATTACCCAGCAGGAACAAGCATTAAATCTGTCCGTAAGTCCTTCCATCTTGCCTGGATGATCAATAAATAATTAATTTAAGTGCAAGCTAGATAATTCAACTCAGTTCGTGAACAGATAGATGAAACTAACTTGTTCAGTCCCCCTAAAAGCAATCACTAATCGCCTCCTTGCTGAATCACGCCAAATTGCCACCTGCAGGTGCCTACAATTTAGTGATAAAACCAAATAATCCTTGTAATCAAATAGTGAGGTGCTGTAAAAGATAGGGGTTCAAGAATAAGAAAATTATAGCCAAAAGTGAGCTTATTTCCAATGACATAAAATGTCACCTGGGTATCTGTGGTTGCATTATCCAGAAAACATATTTTCTCAAATTCAGATTTGATAAAACTTGGATGGCCCAGTGACGTGGCAAGCATTGCCCAGGCTTCCATGGCACTTTCAGCAGTTGCAAAGAGTTCTTTCATTTCTTCAGCTTTTTTCTCCTCTAATACCGAACCATCTAGTGAGCTAGAGACATTCTCACCACCACTGTACCTAGAGACATTGTTTTCCACTCCTGCAGAGGAGTCTTCTTTAGTGTCATTCTCCTGTCCTTCCCTTTTGGACTGAGAAACTGCTGCAGTCAACACCATTAATGCTCCTAAAACAGAATCAGTTTGCCTTAATACATCCTCTGTTGCCTTCTTTATGTCTGGAAGTGAAGATTGTATTCTGCTAATGGTAAGTGGTCCAATCGCTTTATCATTCTTATTTTCCTGATCTTCAGGATTCGCAAACCCAGATTCAAGCACTTTATCACCTTCAATATCCTGATTATCTTGAGTTGCAAGCCCAGATTCGATATATTTTGCTTCTGCAATTTTTCGGGACTGTAGACCAATTTTGTTTAACAAGTCAAATCCATCCCACTTTAATTTCTCTGGAACAGGAACTCCAAGTTTCTGAACAACATTTTGATTGATAACATCAGCAAAGTTCTTCCAGAAGTGCTTATCGAACTGCATAATTTCACCAACTTGTGCCACCGGTTCAGTGCTCTGCCCATTAGCCATGCCAACATTATCCAAGTGAAACTTCTCTGAATTATTCTCATTGTTGGTACCTTTGTCAATGATAGAGGTTTCTGAACTACTTTCCACATGTGAAGACATCGCTGACACAGCAAAATCATTAGAAGTCCCAACACCTGCTCCATTCTTATTACTGTTCAACACTCGTTCCTTCAAAAAATATGCATCATTGAATGACTTTAACTGCCCAAAGGCATATTCCACAAACTGGCGTGCTGGCACAGTCTCAGTGCCAACAAACATTTTTAGAGCAGACTCAAATCCGTTTCTCCGAAGAAATTCTGTAACAAAGGGCACTTTCCACCACATTTTCTCTTCCTCAATCTCATCAAAACTCTTATACTTAACCTGAAACCATACCAGACACAAAAACACATACAAAATATAAGTTCTACTTGAATATATAAACTATGATTAAATCTACCTTGAAAATGTGTGGTGAAAGGCAGATAAAACTTTCCATCAGCAACACACGAGTTGTGGCAGTCAAAACACTGAGGAAATTTATATTGACAAAGAAGTCCTGTAAAACTTAAGCATCAATGTTCATTTTTCTTGCAGGGCCCACAACTCATTACATATCCAAATTACACCAGCTCCATTAATCCAAATATGTAAGAATTAATATCCTTAAGAGTTTAATTTAGGCGAGTATTAATTTTAAAATGAGATAGAGAGTGCAATAATCAACCTGATTGACCAATACTTTGGCAACTGGCTCACAAAGTGAACAGTCCAATGGTAAGACTATGCTAAAAAAGATAAAATAACCAGAAGGTATGCCTCAGAGGACAATTTCCTTTAAGCTGGTTTGTGAAATTTACACAAAGCCAATTCATTGTACTCAACCTTTAACTATTATGACCATCCAGAATTATTATACTCCATACACATGGAAAGCTCAAATTAACGTTTAATATTACAAAACTTGACTGACCATTGCTCATATTTGCTAGAAGATTTTGATGAATGCCCGCCCAGTTAGCATCAGGGTATGCCCTACTCTCACATGAAGTGCTCAAGAACAGTCTTGAACTTGACAATAACTTTAAGAATTACTGAACACTATATGCAACTGAGAACTAAAACCTAAGCACTTAACCTAGTGCATAAAAACCCTGACGATTAAGAGGTCTGAAAAAGGCACATAAATAGATATCCAGTATCATCTTACTTTGTTTCAGTACTTCAAATAATAGATATTCAGTTTACCACTTTCTGATCCCACTTTATATGTGAATGTCTTTTATCTAGTGACTCCTACCAATTTCATGCATCTCCATGCATAATTTGCTCCTATGAGTCAACCCCATAAACACATAGAAAATTATGAGCTTGCATACAGGTGCTCATTGTAGAGTGACAATGCATCCTTCTCTTAGAAATAGAAAAACCATAGTATATCAACAACCTTGATCCTTTAGAAAATTTCAAATATCGGAAATATTTTACTTAAAATAATACTACAATTTGCTGTTGACATCTTCCAAGAGAATATATATATCACAAGAGATACTTTGGGACCTCATGAACCGAATCCAAAGGAAACAACCAAAATCAAAAAACATGTTTTTGAATGATCATCAAAAAGGTTCCACATAAACTATATCTTAACAGAATTAAACCTAGGAGTCTTTAGATTATAGTCATATAATATTAGAAATATAAACAGTAATTTCTAATCTTTTGGATTTCTTTATACTTGCAAAGTTCATAACAAAGATGACTATGCTTAAATATATATAGTGTTTATGCACAATTACAGGCCCAAAACTTGATAGGGTGAGTAATGGGATAACTACGAGAAAATCCATTTTCAGGATAAATGACAATCAAGTCTAGGTACGTGAATGGTCAACTTCTCATCCATGCCTTCATTCTATCTACTATCTTTCAAGACCCATCAAAATGAACTTAGTGATTTCTCCCACATTTTTGTGGCTTAAAACTGATTCCCTCCATTGATAAATCCATTATTCTGCACTTAACGAGGTTCAAAAATAAAAGAATATTTCAGACTGGGAATCAGAAAGACCTGACAAGGCAACCCGTTGAAAATCGGTAGGAACTAGAAAGGCTTTATGATAATCAACCCAATACATTTGAGAAAATTTTATCCATTTTGCTCTCCGATAAGCCTTTACCAACAAGATTTCCCTTTATTGGCCCGTTCGATAGAAGTTATACTGCCTTTGCATTCCACTATTTGTTATGTTTGAAGAAAAGATTAACATTCTTTTTAGGACCTAATCTCTTTGAGCACTGCTGCCTTCCTCTGAAGACTGGCAATATTTTCTGCAAACATATCATCAAAATAGATGTTAGGGAGAAACAAGACAGCGCAACAATCGGAGAAAGTAGAAATAACTGAAAGATAACATATTACATAAACAACCCAATCAAATGGAATCAGCAATTGAAGGAAACAAGTCGTCATAGAAAAATTAACAGAAAAAGAATTCGAAGAGGCAACAGCATCATTACCTTCAATACAGAGGGCCCCCTGACATCCCATTCTCCAGCAGTAAGCATATATATTAGCCACCCCTTCATCCACACCGAAAAACCACATGTGAAATGTTAAAAGTATCACCTAATACTCAGTTAAGGGATAAAGACTGAATAGAATTGGGAAAGAAATATTAAGAGACATGGAGACATATTTTTAGCCCTAAATTAAAACTGGTTCCTCCAATTAATGGAATGGGACGATGGATTTAAAGAATGTAATGTAGTGAAGTCAACAAAATTTTTAAGAAGAAAAGTTTTAAATTCTGTGAGCATGTACATCCTAAAGAGATGCACTCAGGGACTTCTATGGCTAGAGAACTTGATTTATCGGATTACAACCAATAAGGAATGACTAAGATGTTTATGTGTAACTTAGAGAAAGTGCTAATTATTTCTTATCAACTTCATTCTATTGGAGACTTTCTATTCCGTAATTTAGACCTTACAAAATAAAAATTTAGTTCAATCACATTTGTTAGAAATATACATTCTGAGATTACCAGAAATTTGGATTTAGGAATCTACCCACAATCCACTATAGAATTTCTCATGCATCTAAAGAATCTAATCTTCCAACAGTACATAAACCTAAATTTAGGAGAACCTTTCACAACAAAAGTTAGAAATCGACTGCCATAAATAGAAAAGAGAGACCCAAAATTAGAAATTTCCATAGGGTCCTTCATGTTTGCATGAGGAATTTCAAATACAGCAAGCAAACCATACCTTAAGCCATTCTTTCCTTTAGAAGGAAACTATAAAATCCAAAAACCCTAAAAGCCCACCTTTTCTCAATAAACTTGAAAATTCCAATATAGATTCCAACTTACCAAGGAAGAGTTGAAGAGCCTTTTGCTCTATGACTAGAATATTACATCATTAGTGGCCATATCTCTATGATCAATGCCTTGGACTAAAATATGCATTAAAATTTATGCTAAATTTCTGAAGAGAGGAGATATTTCAGAATTCCTCCATTATAATTTTCTAATCCTAGCATGCACTTAACCCAATTTGGAAAGGCATTGAAGCATCTCTTGGAAATAAAGAAATAATATCCAGAACAGTTGTGACAATAGTACGGAGAAACCTACCTCAAGCTGCAACTTGCCACCACCTCCCATTCCTTCCAACTCCACCAGCACCTCATGCAAGTTTCCTGGAAAAAGCACACATTTTAATCCGTTATATTTTAGAACAAACGTATGGCGCTCTGAAATTTGAAACTTTGTCTGCTCAACATTCCTAAGCCCAAGCTAAGGAAATTGAAACTAGTAGTTCAGTTTCTTAAAGCATTACTTTAACAACAAGAAATTACATACATTTTATAAAATTTCCAATATGATAGCAACATAACACCCTCACTTGATGATCACATAACATACCCACTGACTTAGATAAAGCAACATGACAATTGATGGCCTGTTAATCTAATAAATTCAAGCCATGCATGTAGCTAAAATTCCTACCATCACAGAGGCTTTCTAGACTAATGCCTCCATTCCCCATGCGCTTATGCGGAGTCACAAGGTTTGCATCCCAAGCAGCAACCTGAAGTTTGACAGCGCTGATTAGAATCTGTATGATAATCTAGAAATCGTCTTGTTTCTCACAGATAAAAGGAGTCATTAATAGTTTCATGTAATCTTACCTACAAAAGGTTAGTCACTCTTTAAGTTAAGTATTTTAATGCAATTATAACTTTATAAATAGGTAAGCAATACAAGAGCCATGCTTAATGAGACAAGAGGAATTGAATGAAACTAAGAAACCAGAAAACTTATAGACAAAAGCTTCTATCAAAAGACAAGCAAGTAAATAAAATAACAAATGAAACTAGAGATCCTAAGAGATTGCATATGCACCTGAATATATTTCAAAGGATGCAGTTTAATATTAAAGGTGAGGTCCTCATTCCATTTTGGCTCCTTTGTCCTGCAATCGTACAGACACTAGTATATGAAATAGATAGGTAAAACTATGCTTACTTTTTTTATCTGCACAATATCCTAAGAATAAATAAACAATAAAAGACAGCTGTAAATGCTCAATATTCTAGATTAGTGGTACATTGGCTCCACAGTTGACATGTTCCACTAAAAAGAGCTGATATGTATATACCGATTATTGAGGTTAACAGTTTAAAAATTTTTTCCAACCCATAAGTTGTGTTTCTGGCAGCAACAGAATCATCCTCACAAAAACTCTAATAAGCAATAGCATTAATTCAAGCTTAAGTACAATAAATACTACATAAGGTCATTTTTCCTTGTTTCCCTTTGACATCAGTAATAGAGACAATAACAATGTATAACATTAAATTAGAACAACTTCAAATGAAGGGTCAGGCATGCTTAAATATGATGGAAAATTTTCCAAAGACAGAGGGAAATGGAAAGAAAACAGCACTGTCACTTTCATATTAGCCAAAAGTTCCAGCTATTAACCGATGTTAAAACAAGCATTTTAGCAATCCTCTTTTGAAAGAGTATCAATCTCAAAAATACATAGATTACCTTTAAAATACAAATGAAAACACCAATAACTTACCCCCATTTAGTCTTGCTTTTGACAACCTGACCATCCAATTGCATTACCACATATGGATCACTAGTTCCCTGAAGGCATAACAGAAGTTACATAACAATATAGTTAAATTTGTGTTAAAGACACAAACACACACATAAACCTCTAATTTTCACTTAACTACATACCCATGGATCCATAGCAGGGAAATCAAAACCCTTTTTTAACTTTATAAACAACTGGCCATCGTATATCTCTCGTATAAACGACCTGCATTGCATTCACAACTGCTTTAATGCCAGGTTAAAAGCTAAAATTTAACATTAAGATTTCCTTTTAAAGGATATATATTTATCTTTTCAGTGTTTAATTACTGAGAGGAACCATGGAGACCAAAACATACTCTGAGAGATAAACAGTCTTACAATCTGCAGCATCAATTTCACGCTTCCCTCTATTTTCCTGACAAGAAAACAATCCAAGCAGAGAAAAAAAATCAAATTTTAGTGCCAATAAATACCTAGATAACCTTCTTAAAGCTAAGGTTTGCTTGGTTGTTATTTTTTGCTTCTTCAAAACTAGCTACAATGAAATATTTGATCAAACATGAGCATATGATTAAAATGTGATAAACATTCAAACATAGTCCTTCTATTCAAAAAAAGTTAAATTTTTGAGTTCTGAAAAATATTCCTCATCTTTTTATTCAAACATCTTCTCAGTAGAAACGCACAAACATAAAAATTCATAATTGAACCAATTTCCTCACGTTTCTCAGAAACGAAGCAGAATCTTTTAAAAAAGAAGAGAAATGGGATTCTCGACATGAATTACTTACAGGAGGACTAGTATAAGCTTCGAAAGCGAAACCAGCAAGAATAACCGCAAGATTAATATCAAACGGTGGCCGCTCTTCATCCTTTTTCTCTTCCGATGAAACCTTTTCAATCTCAGCATTCGTTTTAGAGAAACAAGAAATTGATAACACTCCATCTCTTCCTCTAACAATCACATTTCCTCTCGAAGTAGACAAAGACCTAACTTTCTTCCCGTAAAATTGGCGGGAAAATCTAGGAACAACTTTGAGATGAAAATTACTGAGGCGGAATCGACGGAATTGAAGAGGCGAATAGTGAGGTTGGAGGGAGAGGGTAGCCATGGATGAGCTGACACAGTGGCAATTTGTCTAATTTTGTGGAAAACGAGGGAAGGAGAATTTTGTAGGGATTTTAGTTGACTCATCCTGCACGGCCACATATGTCGGAAGAATTTTTGAGAACAAAGCAGAAAGAACACGTGTCTCATTATCATCCGTCTTCTTTTTAATGCTAGAATATTGTAGATGAGATGACCGTTACAGTTTCCGGTAGTTCATTGTAAGACCTGATTCGGATTTCGGAGGTCCAATTCTCGGGTTAAGCAGTCCGGTCCATGTTGGAAATGAAAGTGTTCAAGGCTAGCTTAAAGACCAAAGCTTAACCTGCTTCGGCCCAAGTTTGGGCTAGGACTCTTCTCTAAAGCCTGAGCCAGTCCGGCTCAATATTTTTATTTAATTAATTAAATAATTTATTTCTTTATATGTATTTTAAAAATTGTCACAAAATGTTTCAAAAAGAATTTTCAACAAAATTAATATGAACTAATTTGAACGTTAGCATAGATAAAAACAATGGAAAATTAAAAATGCAATACAAGTCTAAGGCAAATAATTATCTAAATTCTCACAAAGAAAATATGTAATGAGCTAATAAGTCAACTTTAAAATTATCTCTAATAACTAAGGCTTTTTATTATTTTAAAAATCCTATTGAACTAGATAGAGGCTAATTATTTTGAAATTTTTATTGTCAATATATTTTTTTTTATAAAAGGGAATATTAAAATATAATTACACCAATCTAGGCCAAGCAATGCCCAGTGAGTCAGAAAATAGAATTGAATTGATACTAGATGGTGGATGATCATATATATGTAATCCTAAAGGTAGATTTTGTTATAAATATTAATAAAATTTATCCAATCTGTAATGAAAAATCTAATTAGACTAAACTATTTTTCATTAAAAATATATTTCTTAATTTTAATAGTATTATATAATTTGTAGATTAATATTACAAAATTTGAATTAATTATACTGGAATTTAGAACTACAAATTTTGCCTATGGAAATGATATTTCAAATTCTATCTTTAATGACCCAAAAAACAATTTTATTTAAAAATGATTTTTGTTGCCGAAATTATCATGTTTAAGCATTGTTTTTCTTAAAGAGAGTCCGAATGCTAAATCATTATATGTCACAGGCTTGCATTTTATCCTACCTCTTATTGAACTTACTATAGAATTTGCCATCTAGTGGTGAGTCTAGTTTGTTTCTCCATTACATTTTTTTTTAAAGTTGAATGCCCTTTCATGGAGTATACAGAAATTGATTCCTTTAAAAGGTTGATAATTGTTTGTTATTTGTAGGTGGTATATAATCTCATGACACATTAATATTAGATAGAGCGGCAAGACTGAAACTTTTGATCTAACCTATTTTACATATATATAATCTTGTGAAATTCTTTCGAAGTTCCACGTTAACCCATTCCAATTTTGATATATCCATTTGTTGTTTCTTTCTAGTTTAAAAGCATTCCTAGGCCGTCTGGGTTAGAGGAGATTACCTTGACAGATATTAGAAAAATGGAAGAATATACTTGCCGAACTTTTTATGCACATAACATTTTATAATGTATTACAGAAATATTTTGAATTTTGAGTAACATGCATTACACGAAACTGCTGCTTGAAGAGTTGTCACCATCATCTACGATAACTACTGATCGGTTGTCTTTCAGAACTTCAGTTAACGGCGTGTTTTCTTCTAGCAACATAACCACAATCGTATGAAATGAGGAAGAAGCAAAACAAAAGGATGATTAGAATTATTTCATTTGAAAGTGAACAGTGATTTCGAGGGAGAGAAATACCCAGAAAGATTGTACAGTTATGATACAAGTAAGTAATCAGACAACAGGGCAACACTTGTAACACCAATCAAACAAAGCAAGGAAATAAAATCTGCCATTTTGAATGATGAGTCAGATAAGAAGTAAAGTTTATGCGCATTACTGTCACCCCTGAATCCCCTAACGATCATCGCCTGTAAAAGCAATATACTTAATTAGACATTACAAGTAGAAACATTTAACAGAGGCACTTTACCAAGCAAGTTCTGGCAAAGTCTGATGAGACACCAAAATATATGTAGGTTGACTAGAATATGTTTCTCTTTTTCTTTGCTTTTCTTTTCTTTTTTTATTTTTTCTGAAGGGGGATGGGGGTTAACTAGAATATGTTGGGACTGAATTAGAACCATATCCAAATACATGAATACTGACTGTCAAAATGCATAGTCCAGTTGGATATAGTTCAGGATGGTTAAACATGACATTAGATTCTGTCATTGGCAGAGGTAATGGTAAATTTACATAACGACCAGATATACAGCATACACCATCATACTGACACACTTCATAAAAAATAATAATTGGAAATAACAATCTTAATTGGATAGAGAAATAACATGAAAAAGAGCTCAAGCTGGATATGGACCTGAGAGATTTGCTCTGCATGGCTAAAAATATTTTTGAAGATCCGCCGAATGTAGGAAGCAAAAACTGAAATTGAGAACCAAGGAAAAAATACGCACTATAACGAAAACATTCAACCAAAAGCAGATAATACAGAATCAAATTCCCTCTTTGTCCCAATTTATTTGGCTATCACTCTATATAATAGAAAAAATAGTTAGGTATGAAACTTTTTCAAAAAAAATTTGAAACATAAAACTCCACTTACAAGTTTTCCTAAGATTAACATGTTGTACATTAAGTTTTAAAATTTTCAAAGCTGACAAAAAAATAAATGGTTTACATAATGGACAAGCAAATTTGAATAAAGAAACAAGATCAATAAGAAAAAAAGCATTATTACCCTAGAATTACCTATACTAAGTTAATCAACAGCAAAAGATTAATCACGTGCGTCTAACTTCTGGAATTTGTTGCACCTACCAGGATTCCATCATTTTTACCATTAACCATCCGAAAATTTTTCATCACTTTTTCCTTCCATGTTTATCTTCAGAAGGAAAAAGCAGCAAGTTTATATCAAAATTTGCTAAAGATTTCCCCATTCATGAAGAGTCAGACATGTAATTCTAAACAATCATTGAATTCCTCAACATTTAAAATGCAGATCTGTGCAATCTGTAATTTATGGTGAAAGCCAGACATCATGGAAAAACATTTTTTTTTTACTTTTTACTGGACATTACATTTAGTTTGTGCTGCTAGTGCTGTAATAAACCCTCATTTTCACCTCTCCCCACCCCCGCCAAGAAAAAAAAAAAAAAAACAGAGAAAGAGACAGAAAGACAGCTGCTTGTTAGTGTGTATTCTTACTATCAATCGTCTCCATCACTGTCAACTGTTGCCAATTTATCCTACGAGATACAATTCCTAATGCAACATTTCGAACCTGTTAACACATGAAAGTTGACATGGTTAATCCTCCGTCAAAACAAACACAAACATGGGGGGAAAAAATGAACTTTCCTATTTATTAGAATGCGGAAGTAACCGGCATTATCTTTCTTACCTCATCAAACACTAGATTGATAAACCTCAATGAAAGCATGAGTGTAAGAACAATTTCAGCCACTGGGACACCTATTCGCCTCAAAGGGAGCATAAACCACTGCAAAGCAAATGCAAGTTGTTCTGGTGTCGTGGTTGCCAAGCAAAGGCTTGCACTTTGAAAGATCTTTCAAAAAATAGAGACCTATCTCAGAATGATAAAGACTTTATTTGCTTCTCAACGATATATTACTAAGCTAGTATGCAGAATATATACATATTTATAAACTTGTGTATGTATGTCTAACATATATAGTTCTAAAAAGTAATTTAACCTTTTTGTCACTTAAGTTGCAAAAACTCAATTTCAAAAAAGTAATTTTGAGTGTCTAAATATGATGTCATTTAAAATGTGCGTTATGAAAATTGTAAGGGATTCTTTTCATGAATGCCGTTCAATAAAAAGAAAAATGGAACTATGCGAGAGGGGAATAACCAACTTACAGTGAAGGTTAAACATGAAGCTGTGCTAGCAACAGACAAGCCCTTCCTTGTAAACTGTAATGGCCCTAGCTTCATAATTAAATATGAATAGCCACTTAAAGAAGCATGAAGTTCAGGCAACCCTGTGATTGAAGATGATGGGGTTCTCGACTGAACAAGTTGTGGTATACCATCAGTACCAAGCCCACACAGAATGAATAGAATTCCACAAATTAGTGACACTCTTCCCAATTGATCCTACAAGGATTGCTGAATCAGTATGCAAGTGTCAGCAATGCAATCAATGCATACTATTTAAAAGGAAAATTCTCCTATATGCATCTAGTATGGGAAGAATGATTTCCCTAGATCCCTGCAAGTTAAACTTCAAACACAACATGTGAATGGTCAGAACACAAATTAATGTACACACAACAACCATGCAATAGAGGCAGCAACTAAAAGCCATTAGGGTCTAAAAGATGTCTTTAAACAATAGGCATATGTTAAAACTAGTGTCTAGACCTCAGATCACAAAGCCTTTGACAAGTCATCTTCTAAAGGATACTAGCTTGTGCAACGTAACACAACTTCCCCTGAAAAACATGAATCACTTGGCCTAAAGAAAATAATTAACATGCAGTTAAATCTCCACTTACAAAACTAGATTCACCAGAACGATAAATTTCACTTCTTTTTCCCCTCAAACATTCAAAACTTCACTTGATCAAATTCATTAAGGCAAAAGTTCAAACAAATGTACAAGAAAGTTACATCAAGGAACAGAAAACTTTATCAAGATACACTGAGCTACAGCAGTTAACAAGTTTAAGACCTTACCACCCACACATGTTTTGGGAGAACCAATCCTGACAAAAGAGCAATACATGCTACCAATCCAAAACGAACTAATATTTGGGAACGTGCTGGTAAAACAACTAATGCCAATAGCCATACCTGCATAATCAATATTAGCATTTGAGTTATTGGGAAATAATGTCACCACAAAATATACAAGTACCCACTCAATGTTCGCCAAATGAAATGCACAAATAAAGCTTAAAGAAAGAAAACCTGTTGATGATTCACAATGATACCATGTTACAACGTTTCAGCATTTCAGCTGAACAATTGTCAAATTGCAACAACGAAAACCCATTCAACAAATTCACAAATAAATTCTTCATTGCAATCCATAACGAAACTAGCCATCTCAAAAAACAAATGAACCATAAAAAAAAAATCCCCAAAAAGAAAATCAAAATTAGCAAGTAGCCAACTACCCAAGAACCCAAATTGACCAATTTTATCAAAGTTCAATACGGAAAAAGAAAAAGAAAAAAGAAATTCACAATTTCAAAAAAAGAAAAAACTTGAAAGATTTAAATTTTAATTATTACCAACTTGATTCTAGGGTCCACTGAGTGCAAAAAAGTGGTTGGTGAAGAAATGAACTGGCAAATGGGACTTGAAGTTGCAGTTGAAATCAATCTCAAAATTTTATCAGCTGCTAAACCTCCCGTGGGTAACCAGCTTACCCAGTTCCTTGATTTACCATTGTTACCATCAACTGAAGCTTTGATTTGGATGTTCCTCTTCTTTGCAGTCAAATTAAGATTGGAGGATTTATTGTAATGTGAAAGGAGGGGTTTACGGTTTGCGTGACTTTGAGGGAGAATTAAAATTTGACTGGGATTTGGGTGGCATAGGATTTTGAAATTAGGGTTTAAGAAATGGAAAGGGGATTTAACCGTTGGAATGCAGTTCATTGGATTGGGATTTTGAGGAGAGAGAACCTAAAGTGCTCTCTTGTTTAGGTTGTTGGATTTGATGGCTGGAATTCGGGTTTAGATTTTGGATCTTAATGGCCCAACAAGGGCCCATTGTTTAAAGAAAAGCATCCATACAACCAGCCCATCATTTGTCCAAAAATGGGTTTTAGACCAAGCTTTCTTACCCAAGGAGAATGTTTATGGACCCAATAAATTTGGAGAAAATTTTAATAAATAAATAAATACATGTATTTATTATTAAATTAAATAGTTAGATACAGTTAAATTTTAATATCTTTGTAAGGATTAATTAAAATTAATTCATCAAACGTTTCTTATCCCAAACGAACACTTTGTGAGTTAATTAACATATGATTGATTGCATCATGTTGTTATAATGGCTATTAATTAGTGTTTTGGTTTGCTAGAAGTGAGCATTGCAATGTTGATATTATTGTATATGTCTTTGTTGGGTTAATTAATAGCAATTAAAATGGTTATTATTTCATATCAAATTGAAAGATAGATTATTATTTTTGTAAATTAAAATGATTGTTATCGTATTAATATGTAAATTTAAAGTTCATGTTTCACAGTGTATAAATTTAATTTAACATTGATTTAATTAATTAATTAATTTCTTTTATAATAAAATACTATTTGATTGTAATTAGAATTTTTTCTTGTACTCGAAACCTCATAAAAATAAAAAATAAATTAGAATCGTTCACTCATTACATATCAAATTAATTAAGATCAACACAATATATGTAATAATTAATTGGAAGCCTGTAAAATTTCACAAGATTTGAGAAAATGAAAGGAATTTAACATTATAATTTGCAGCATTCGCTAGATGGAAAGTTCATTCTGTGGAATTCTCTTCATTATTTGGACATATGTGATGGTGAAACTCAAACTGTTCCAGCAGCTTGCATTCTCTGTGGAGCAACTTCTTCAGCCCCAGCATGGATAGCACCGGTGCAAAACAACTGCGTAGCGCTCGCAATTATAGTTATAACTTCCAAAGTCCGCTGCATTATAATTACAACAATTTTCAATGCTAATTGCAATGATTTGGAATCAACTTTTGTTGAACATAATTCTGTTTTTCGTTTAATGAAGGCTTACCAAGTTGGCCTCTGTCCAGCCAATGTTGATCTCTTTACATGCCAATCTGCAGAACAGGGCTCGAACCCAAGGTTAAAAATCGAAAAAACAGTGAAAAAGAAAATGAAAGGGAAAGAGAAAAGGATTGGAGGTATTGACTAACCCCATGGCTAGCAGAGTGAGTGCCCAAGTGAGCAGGGATGAAGAAGCTGCAGCGTTTAAATTTGGTGCATCCCATTGAAGAACATTGGTGAGTCCTGTAACTGAGGTGGCAACGCCCACAACACCAGCGATGAGGGAGAAGACGATGAAGAAACCGGTGGCCATGTTTCCCATTGGAAAGAATATGGGAAATATACGAGCTGGGATTGATAAAACAGATGCTGCAAGGTGCAATGCATTCCAACATGTAAACATTTTGCGTTAAAAACAAACTGTTTCAATGGTGTTTTTAGAAGCAATTAGAGTTACCTGTTTCATGAGTTCTTTCAATTGCATGATTTACAGCCCACCCAGCTACTAATGTTACAACGATATACAGCCCAAGATTGAGAAACAAGAGCATCACTGCTGTAGGTTTCGATCCTCCAGAAGCCATGCCTTGATTTTTCGGCTCAAGAGAACAAAGACAAATTAATTTTGAACTAGATCAGCGTTCCTATTAAGCAGTTGAGCAAGAAAGGACTAAATATATAAGCAAGGACTGGCACTTTCTCTAACCAGGAAAATGATTCATGCATGAAATATTGAAGCTTCTTAAATTCCAAGGAATTGCTTGTATTCTTGGACCGTATTGAGCTTGCCTCGAGAAAGGGTAAAGGAATCCCAGATATCCAATCTATGTCCCCCAAGGTGGTGCTAAAATTTGTTTACATTAAATCCCACAGGGCATAACTTTAGCTGGAATAAACTTTTCCTGCCCAGCAAACAAAGAAAGAATAAAGTTAGCAGGAATTGTTCGTTATGTATGAGTCCTTTTTAATGTACTTCCCGTGAGCTCCAGTTTTGGTTTCTCTCCCCAACAGGCCTTATATGAAAGTTTGATAAAGCTTACATCGCATTGAGCAACGTATATAGCGTAGCTATACCCTTTATTATAACTTAACCGAACCTTAACGCAGACGCAGAATGACAGCCCAGATGTTTCCGGGTCAAAGATTCTACTGGCTGCTGAGGAGATCATAGACAAAACACAAAGTAGAGTAGAAGAATTATGCAAGTTTTGAAGAAAGTGGGCGAATGCAAAGGACTCCCCCACAAGATCCATTACCCTAAGATAGTTTAATCAGAGCATTCTGATTTACAAGACATAATCCATTTGAGAACCCTCTGATGACAAGCTAGATCACAAGGTAATTACTCATTTTAGGACATTTATTTACAGGGATCTTCCCTAAAAGCCTAAAAGAAAAGTGCAAAAACATCCCTGTGAATTGAGTAAACTATAAGCAATTTGCTTGCTTCTTGAGTTGGATATATATCTCTCTTGGCAAATTGCCCTAGACCTTCAAAGCAATCTTCTGGGCAGCAAGTGCTTCAGCTTCAAGTGTTGGCTCATACAGTATTGTAGTTTCTGCCAACAATGATGTCACAATATAGGGGTCCATGTTTGAAGCTGGGCGCCGATCTTCCAAGTAACCTAACAAAATAAACATGCAGAAAGACAAGTTGGGAGAGTATATGCAGCTGTATATTGAGATTTAAAAGTTTATCAGGCATGAAAATTCGGAAAACAAAGAGATCTTCTCCTGTTCTGTAGTGTTATTGATGGCAGTACCTTTTCCATTCTTCTCAGTGTCACGACCAACACGGATTGAGCAACCACGGTTAGCCACTCCCTGCAAATTGAAATTTAAGGTATGGACATCAAAAAAGGAAAGTCCTGTTTTTCCATGTTTTCCATTACTAGGTATGGATATCATATGAACATACCCAAGAGAATGTGTCAATGCTGGCTGTTTCATGCTTTCCTGTCAATCTTCTCTCATTTCCTTCACCATAGGCACCAATATGCTCCTGGTGACGAAGTGATAGATTCAATATTGCTTTCTTTATAACTTCATAGCCTCCATCTTCCCTCATGCTCTTTGTACTGTGTTAAAAATAGCTTGTTATTGTAATTGAATTGATACTATATAATTTTGTATAGAATGCATATCACTATACCAAAGTCGATATTAAAGATATTAAAAGTCTGGAATACCTGTAATTGGTATGGCATCCAGCACCATTCCAGTCACCCTAGCAGGAGGAAGGACAAATAAGCATTCCCTCTTTATGGACTAATAGTAAGAATTTGAGTGTCACGAAACATTACGTTACCTCTATTGGTTTAGGATCAAGTGAGAGAACAACACCAGCTTGTTCAGTGATTCTCTGTAAGAAGAGAGGAACACATATATAAGTTGTTGGATATCAACTTGCAATCATGCTCCCCCACCAAGAAAGAAGATGAGCAAATAAAATGGAAACACTAATTATCCACTCGTGAGTAACTGACATTTAGACACCGGTGATCAATTGCAAAGCTTAATTACATGCTATCCTAACTATCAAATTATTGCAGTAGCCTCCATCGAATTATTACCAACATCATGTGGAGAGGATATACCTCAAGAATGTATCTTGAACACCAGATATGATCTCCAGCTTCAATACCAACACTTGGACCAACTTGATACTCCCACTGCATAAAGTAATTAACAACATCAAACAGTGATAACTCATGAACAAACAAGCATGGTTTGCAACAGTACTTCATATCATTAGCAGAATGAGAAGGCCTCGATGGCAGCAGACCTGGCCTGGCATAACCTCCCCGTTGGTGCCACTAATGTTGACGCCGGCATATAAGCAAGCCTTGTAATGAGCATCAGAGATGTCACGCCCAAATGACTTGTCAGCTCCAGCTCCACAGTAATACGGACCCTGAATTTTTCATTCTGAATTTATTAGTGCATGGACGATGGCAGAGTGTATTATTTCATCATGAATTTGAAGAGGTCTAAAACTGCTTTACCGGTGCATAAAAATTGAGTCAGATTATTACCTGAGGGCCAGGGTAGCCTCCAACAGGCCAACCCAAAGGCCATTTCACATTTTGTTGAAGTAAGGTATACTCCTGCTCAATCCCAAACCTAATATAGAAAGGTACAATGACATAAGTGCATTTCCATTTCTAACCTACATAAGAATTAGTGCTGCAAAACTCAAGTAGGTTCATCTTTTGTGGACGTTAAGAAACTTGACTTGAACTTTGGGAAATTACACATTAAGTATTAAATGGAAATTGATGATGACAGCAACAGTAATAATGCAATATGAATGCCTGCCGAGACAGAATAAAAGCAAACCAAAAGATTACAAATTAAGTCCCAAACAATCCAAAATTAAATGAAAGAATGAGATGGTTGAAACAAAGTAATACGAACCATGGTACTTGATCTACCACCTTCTTGTTACTGAAAATCTCAGCAGCTCTGTGGCGCTTGTTTGTGGGAATGGGCTCACCAGCCGGTGTGTATGCATCACAAATTACCTTTGGGAAATACATAAGAAAATATTAAGCACAATGCAATCTACTTACAAAACTCTCAACGGAAGCAATAACTAGAAACTTTAACCATGCCTATGACAATACTCACCAAGATATTATTGCCTCCCCGGAAAGGGTCCTTAAAAATTGCTTGGGGGCTGAATAAAATGTTTAGTCAACATGGTGTTTTGATAATAATTAACAAGCAATTAAGAAAATTTTTAATATTCCTCGCAGAAGATCTTACCATAAAATAACTTCACTATCTTCACCAGGTGCTTGCCCAGTGCTTGATCCATCATAGTTCCACTTAGGAAGTTCAGAGGGATGTTCAACTGGCTTTGCTATTGTCTGCCAATTGTAAGAGGCCCAATGAAACATAAGAAAAATTTAACATTGCATTGAAAGTTACAGAATTTCATTTCTATTATTTTTCTTACCTTGGGCTTGCTACGAAGATCAATTCCACTGCCTCCTATCCTGTTTCAATTGGGAAACAGCCCTGATTCAGGTATGCTTACAAGGAAAAATTGCCAAAGTGCCACCATTAATCTAATATTTGAACATTGCCGTCTAATGCTTATCTAATTACTCTACCATCCCATGTTAATATTCCAAATTAAGACAAAAGATTTTTTTTAAAAAAAAAAAAAACCTTATTTGAAACATAGAAACAACTGTCAGAAACAAGTTGTACCAAATATATTCAGCAATGATCTTGTCAGTGTATGGAGTGATGTCCATGTTTAGTAGCTTCTCCAGCCTGTTGACAGTGCTGTTCTGAAACTGCAAGGCAAACACTCTAAATTTGCCACAGCTTTTAGCTGCTCCTTGCTTGTTCTGTTTCAATACCAGAGAATTCCACATTTTTGTTGCAATGGGACTTCCATAGGTTGAGGTCTTCGGCAGTCTCATCTGCCATTGAGTTGAGGGTGCCAGAATCTGTGCCATTTTCCCCTTCTCCTAACTAGGAAATCAAAACAAGTATTAACAAATAACTTAAACCATTGAGCATAAAAAAAAAAAACACTTAAACCTCAACATATTAAAAAAATGTTAGTCTATCATACATTTCTGTTGTGATAGAAGTTGAGAAGATCCATCAGAAAACGTTCAAATTGAAGGACAGGGACTATAGTTTATTAATGAAAAGACATTAATAGATCAAGTCTAACAGCAATGCGTAAATTCAAAGTTCAAATGCAGATCATGCAGCAAGGAAAGGCCTTACTCTCACCATTATAAGGGCTATGATTAGATCAAATTGTAAGATTTAAATGACACCTAACTTTCCACCAAGAATGGTATGTTTTAAAGTCTGTACAAAATCACAAAGGGAATGGATTTTTGATCAGTACAAAATCACATGGAGAAAAAAAAAAGGAGTAACACTTTTGTCAGACTTCATTGGCTTATCAACTACTCATAGTTAATGAGTCGTTGGGACCGGTCAAAAAGGTGATCTTCTTTCAAAGAGCAAAAGGTTGTCACAGGAAACACATTACTCTTATTGGGCAAAGAGAGACAGGGAAAGTAAGAGGGATCTGCAAGAGGGATTTATGTGCATAACTGAACATATACACCGTAATCCGATTTTGGTAAATACTGCTTCCAAGTACTTAACATGGTGTGACCAACTACCTATATTTTGTATGCACTGCAATTATTGGAATCTCTCAATCATATCTTATGTCATACATCAGTGTATTAGACTCTGGTTAGTACATGATCATTTTGTCAGAAAGGCCGTTCCTTTTTTGCCTAATGTCAAGCACGAGATGTTTAAGCCATCACAGCTCAAAGCTTTCTTACTTTCTGACCCCCAAAGAAAAATGACACTAAAGAAACTTGACACTCAGATGCACAGAGAACTAACCTCGGAACTGCCTGAAAATGGCCTGACCAGGAACCGGAAAGTGTGTCTTACAGGAATTGGCTGCAGAAGGAGAAGGAAAGAGAGAAAAAGAGAGAGAGTGAAGACCAAGTATACTTCTTTTATGGTGGAAAAAAAAGTCTTATAAGAGTTTGATAGAGAAAAGGGTTGATTGGCTTTTCCAAACGAGATAGGGGTATGCTTTGAGTGGAGGAAATTAGATTTTGGTCTCTTTAGTGCCACCAAGAGAAGCTTGGACTATACTTAAAATCTTCAGATAAGGTAGTTTCTCTCTCTCTCTCTGCCTCTCTATCAAGCCTCAACCTCAGCTT